TAGTGTATTCACCCTTGGATATTGTATACTTTGTTGCTGTCATAATTTTTGGTTTAAAAAAAAAAAAAACTCTTCAATGTCAGTGCTCACATTTCTACAGAGAAATGTCAGATAAATAAAATATGAAATGTTAAAAAAAAAAAGAATGTATAAATGTTCACCCCTTTATCAGTATTTAGTACGACCCTCTCTGACTGCAATCGGAGCACTGAGTCTGTGTGGATGAGTCTCCGTCTTTTCTTTTTTCCAAACTGCTCAATCTGTCTGCTTGCATGGCGATCAGGTCGAGCCACATAGCCTCCAGGATTTCAGTCTGGGTTCTGTCGCGACCACTTCAGAACATTCACCTGTAGTTTCCGCGATATGCTTTAGGTCATTGTTCTACTTAGGCCTGTTGCAATAAACAACAAGTCAATTTATTGCATAATAAATGAAAATTATCGACCTCATTTTCATTTATCAGCTTTATCGTTTCTTCGTGTCTCTTTCTAGTGAAGACACTGGATGACAAAAGGTTAAACTCCGGTGCTCTTCACCGACCCCTCGCTTTCGCTCTTTTCTCTTTTAAATCCATTTTAACTGTCCAAAATCGTGTTTTTGGATCGTTAAAAGCAGTTAAACTACGAGCTAAGCTAACAGGCCGACCTTGGGAAAAAGCTCTGTCTTGTCAAAGCTCCAAAATTCACAGTTGAAACTTGTGCCTTTGTGTAAAAAGTTGTGTTTCTCTGACGAAAGAAGCTACTTGTTTACTGAATTTTTTATTTTTTATTTTTATTAAAAGCTTTGTGTGAAAAATGCTATGCTAAAGAGCTCAAACCATTTTGAGAACCGAAAAAAAGGAAAAGGAAACAGCTCATGTCACGTCAAAAGGCCTCCCTCTCATTTTTCTTAGAGACACGCTGCTCGCTCCCTCACTATCCATCCTTCAGTTCAAACTGTCTTATACTGCCATCAGTGGTCAAAAAAAGGAACTACACATGAAAAATAATGTACATTTCTTCTTAAATTTGACAATAATTACTAATTATTGTCAAATTTCAAACAATATTATCGTATATCGCAATAAATTCTGAGACAATTAATCGCCCAGCAAAATTTGTTATCGTGACAGGCCTAGTTCTACTGCAAAATAAATCCTCTCCCAAACCGATGTTCATTTGCAGACAGCTGCAGATTGTCCTCCAAGATTATATTTGCATCATTCATTTTACCCTTCAGAAGCATTCCCACATTATGATGCTGCCGCCACCGTGCTTTGGGGGATGGCCAGTTGGTGGTGATGTGCAGTTCAGCTCTTCGCTGAACACAGCCTGATGGCCAAAATGTTCCGATTCAGTCCCATCAGACCACAGAACTTCCTTT